TTCACCTCCGTCAGCCACAGCTCTCCCCAGTCTCCTGGCCCGGGCCGAGCCCTGGCATTTCCCCCCTGATTCATCCACCTCTCCTACAGTCTTTAGTCCTTTCCTTTAACTGCAAAGTCCAGACTGTTTCTTTTTTATCCCTGTGCTTCCAGAGCCTGAGCCGCCACCCTGCACTCCCCACCCAGCTCGCCTCAATTTCTGCAGACTTCTCCAGTTAAAACTCTGACCCTTTGCTTCAGGACTTAACCTCATCTCAACTACTTTCCAAGACCCAGCCAGTGAATGTTTCTACACTTTTAACGGCGTCGTTAAGTTGGGGATAAATTTGTGCCTTCTCGTAAGAAAACACGGCCCTGGCTCAAGAGTTGTAAAGGAGGATCGGTGGGTTTGATCCCTGGCTCCTCCAGTCCGCATGTCAAAGTGTCCTTCGGCAAGATGCTGAACCCCACATTTTTAAAATGAATGTGTGCACGTAGTGTAAAGCGCTTTGAGTGGTCGGAAGGCTAGAAAGCCGCAATGTAAAAGCAAAAGCCTGGGAACTCAGTGGGTAGAGCTGGGTGAAATATCTATTATATTGCTGCCACTCTCGTGTCTGTAAAGTGTGAAGCTAAAGCCAGGAGGCAATTAGCTTAGCTTAGCATAAAGACGGTCCACGGGGGGAAACGGCTAACCCGGCTCTGCCCAAATTAACACATCAGCTATTCAAATAAATTGCTTGAAGCTAATAGCGAACAATGTTTTTTCAGAGTCAGCTCAATTGAGAGCTAACATACAAAATCATTCATTTCTACTCAAACATGACTAACATTTTGAATTTTTACAATATATCTTCTGGCTCTACACTCTATTACTTATTTAAATAGATGATTTAATATTTCCTTTACCAGCAAAGTGTTAATCCGCCCCAGTGTGAACTATGGTTCATGACATCTGGGGCAACAGAGGTTTGTTTCAAGGCACTCCTGCTGTAGACATCCTCAGCAGGTGCAGGGATTTGCACCGACAACCTTTTCAACACAAGCAACCCTCTAACTAACACACACACACACACACACACACACACACACACACACACACCTTTAGCCGGATCCTAAAACACCATGTCAGCCAAAAGACAAAAGAAGCAACATCTAGCAGATCACTTACACCGCCCAATCACCGCGCGGCACATTGCTTCGGCATGTCGCGCGCCGATTGGATGAGTGATGCGGGTGAAAGGGGAGGAGGTGCTGTGGGGAGTTTTGGGCAACACTCAGGAGAGGAGTGCAGAAATGGAGAAAGCTCACCAGTGCATTAGGGACAGCACGGTGCAATTCGTTCCATTGGCAGCACTTCAAAGAGAAAGAGGAGGGGGATAATCCACCCCAACATTAGCCCCCGGATTCTTCCTTCACCACCAACATGCGCACACACACACACACACACACACACACACACACACGTATATTCACAAAAGCAGCAAGCTGGAGGGTTCAGTCGTGGGGTCTGATTGGGTTGGGGGTCTAGGGATGACGGGATGGAAGGATGGAGGGGATTTTTCAATTTGCCAGCAAATCAGAGATGATTGGAATACTCTCTCGCGCACGGTTACACACACTCGCCTTGACACACAAACACAATGCCACGCACACAACACACGTCCATCTCCACAGACGAGACATCACACCTGAACCGAGAGAAGAAGAAAAAAACCCCACTGAAAACACTGAATGGAGCCAAAATATAGTAATACGAGTTAAAAATATGGGTCAGATATGAACGAGAAAGCCATCTGTTTGTGAGAAACAGAAGCAGATATCATGAGGAGAAAAGCAGGTGGAAGGACAGACAGAAGAAGAAAAACAGAGCTTGTGCATCGACAGCCGCTCGCATGAGTAGCGGCGAGCTGTCAACACTCGATTGATGATCAATCGTCCTCACGGGAGACCTGCCAGCGGCACACACAATCAATCCCCCTCTCTCTCTGTCAGATGGCCGAGCGATGTTGAAGAGGAACGCCGGTCGATTCCCGAAAGCAGCCCCGAGATTCAACAACTTGTTGACGTTCAAACCGCCGGTAAACATGGCGGGCAGGATGTCACCCACCGATGACACGGTCTCCCAGCAACAAACGTCCCCGTGTCTTGATCTGCAATCGTAGCAGTGCTAACAGACTAATAACCGCTTTGACGAAGCCTCAACACAATTATGAGACGAAAGATTCCTTCAGACAAAGTCCTGGCGGTGTTTGAGATATCCTGCGTGTGAACACCGAGAGCGCTCAATGCACTGCAACTTCAGAGACGGAAGAGAAAGAGAGAGACATAATACTATATTGCATTATATTAAATTTAACTGGTTTCCGTCTGATAAAAGAATTATGGGAGGAACATACGGTATGTATCAAAACCATTGAAAAAAAGAACATCCGATAGTGGATATTTATGTCGACATCTGTGGAGGCCAAATACATTTCAACCTCTTTGTCTGTTACCATCAGTCCTAAAACATCTGGTCTGGCACAGCAGATGAATTGTGGGACACACTGAGCTCTGAGTGCATACAGTCAGTAGCATAGAAGCGCTAACGCTAATTCATGGTGTGCTAACGTACTCTGCTTATGTTAGCTCCACAGCATTTTACGTAGCAATGTAAATGTTTTAGAAATGTAAATCTCCTTCCACGAGCATCACTATTACACAACGTTTAACATTTTTACAGTGCTTCACATCCTGGCAGATCAATGCTAAATAAGATGATATTTTCCACTGACTCTCTTCAGTTGTTTTAGCTGTTATTGATGGGATGAGTTTACCTTAGAGACCTGAAGTGGTATGGTCCACTTCTACAACACACACGTCAATAAGAAGAAGTGGTCTGGAGGGAGAATTGTTATGGAGTCTACAGATACACTGACTGGTCAGGAAGTTAGCCTGGCCTTCAACAATCAATAAACCCTGACCACCGGAGGCCACTGTGGTACGGCTTCGGTTACGCAAGTCTGCAGGAAACAAACGCCTCCATAGAGTAATGTTCCCCATCACAGAAAAAAACGATGCATTGAACGCAGTCACTCATAATTGAGTCTTTCCATTATTTTGCGGCGATGCATAACAAGAGGAAAACACATCGATGGCACGGTGAACTTTCAATCTAGATTATGAAATCGGAAATACTTAAATGGTATTACCAGCTGAGATTAAATGTAAACGCCAATGATCAATTAAAACCCAGTGATGCACTCTTGTCTGTGTGTGTATATTACTGTTTTAGTTTGTTACAAAGAGGGGCATTTGGTTGATAGTTAATTGCCTAAAGGTTGTCTTACTCTTAGCCAAATGAAGATTCTTTAACCGTATCCCCCCTAAACTCGGGGGTGGAGTAGATGTTTGGCTGTGGGGCAGCCCGCTGTCATTCAGATTCTGCCGGGTGGATTGCAGGGTCAGAAAGAGGTTTTGGGAGCACCGCTGCAGTGAATGCCATTCAGTGCACTGCGAACATGAGCCCTGGAGTGAGGTTATGGGAACAGGCGCAACCAATCCGAGAAACCGAGCAAGGAAATTTACATAGTGGTTAGCATTCAGCTGCCAAGTGTGAGCCATGTTACTGAAGGCAGTAGAGGAATACTGACCTCAAAACTGCAGTAAGCATTTATAAATACCTGATACTGGAGGTCACGATGATAATCTATTCCTGATCGCAGCTCCAGAAAGCAGACCGCACGTTGTATGCAAACGTCTTTCGTTTACTTTTATTTCCTGGAATCGTTCATAAATGTTGCGTAAATAATTTCAATGCCAGAAATAAAGTAAAAAAATCTCATAGTTTCCACTGTTAATAGGAAGGGAAAGTAACCCTAAACCTAAAATAATAAAAGAACGTAATCAGTTACAATAGCTGGCATAAAGACTGAAACACAGCAAGAATACTGTCCACCAAGACAGCCCAATAACATCCCAAACATCTTGGAGTTAATCGCATCCCCCTTTGGCAGAGAAATGTGCAACTATCAAACTCCGCCTTGTCCACAGAGGTCAATGTCTTCCACAGAAGCTGCTGGCCTTTTGGTTTCCCAGTAGCAGTCGGGTTAGGGTCAAACCCGAAAAGCCTCCTTCTTCAGCTCAACAACTTCCTTCACCAACTGGTTCTTCGGTTGCCACCACAAGTCTGAGCAGCCCCTCCACAAGGGAGACTTTGAACATAACCCACTAACACTTCCTGTATCCTACCTTCACACAGGTGCATGTATAATGATTCTGCAGCTTTGAGTTGAGGACCTCGCCGACAAGGACCTCAGATTTTGGTTTACCATTACAGTCTGGCAGCAATCCATCATCACCTGATCCACCTGAACTCCCCAACAGGTGGTGACCACTGAACAGCTAGCATCTGAGACATTGTATATCTTCAGGCCTGAGGAGACTACAAATACTTAAAGAGTCTTTGAAAAGTTTACATATATATGTAGTTGGTACCACCTCCTCCTACACTATTCTCCTTGTAACTTTTTAAATCCCAAGAGACATGCATTCACTATTTCTGTGCTTTGTGTCACCTGAGACTGAGAAGTCCGTCCGTCCCAAAGCCAGAAGCACACGAACCAAAACACACCTGATTATTTTAGCAAGAAAAGAGCTCTGAAAAAAGTCCTCTGTGCCGCCTGACTTTTGAATAAACTGAATAAACTGTCACAGTGAACACAATCACAAAGAAGAACCAAATGAATTCTGCGCGTTTGGTGGATTCTTCACTTAAAATGTTCAACACTGGGTTATCATTCATTCACTCAATATATCATTCAGCCATTTCATCATGCCTCCATCCTTCAGGCGGCTCATTCAATTAACATTAATATTCATGAAAGCAAAAATCAACTTTAAATGACACCGTCAATGATCATTTTAATTAAACATTTTGGAAAAAAAATTAAAATGACCCCTTAAATATCAGCAAGCACTGAGCGTGTGCAAACACAGGCCTTATACCAAACACACACACACACACACACTTCTACGACTCACCCTCTCCAGGTCTTGTCGGAGGTGTGTGAAGAGCTTGAGGCGTCTGTAGAGGACGTCCTGCTCCTGCTGGGCCAGGTTGTCCACCTCGTCCCTCTTTAAGGTCACCAGAGGTTGATTGAAGTTGGCCTTCCTCTTCATCTTCCAGAACTGATACAAGAAGTCCACCTTGAAGAAGAAACAAAAAGAATCCCATTTTATAATTTAACGATGTTCTTGCGAAAGTCGGCGGATTGGAACATCAATAGCTTCAAATGAATGGCAAAGAAAATACATTTATAGAACTATGTTCAAATTCAACATAATTCTATAAAACCTGAATAAGTTAAACTGATAGAAGTTGTATTTAAACTGCTCTAAATCAATTATTCCATTAAAGCATGATACAGACTTTTCATCCCCACGTTTAAAAGGCTGTTTGCTTCCTTTATAGTGAAACAAAGCTCTGGCCTGCAGCCACGACCATGTTTAGAAACTAAGCGAAGGCCAGTTAATCACAGCGCGTTCTGAACAAAAGCCCGCGATTCATCAGACAGTTCACCTGTGAATAGGCAGCAATTTATATGACACACTAGAGCCGGCACTCTAAATGCAGCTCATCAATACCACATCTGATTACATTCAATTACAAACTCTTCATCTCCACGAATAATATGAGATGTAATGGATGATCTGTGTGTTTGAAATACTGGGGAAAGATGAGAACAATGTTGTGTGGGCAAATGGAGAGACTGTATCAAGTTTCTTTATTTATTATTATTTTATATTCATTCGATTTTAAGACATAATGGACGGAAAGATGCTTCATGGATTTATTGTTGTATAATCAGAGTGCTTAAGTTCTATGGCTTAACCTACCTGGGGGACGGGCAGCGCCAGGTTTTCAGCCACCTCCCTGGGGTCCACCAGTTGGTAAAATTCGTCCTCCAGCTCCTGGAGCTTCTGTTTCCTCTGGCTCACTTTCTCTCTTTCCAGCTGTTCCCGCTCAGCCCGCTCCGATGCCGACACCGGAATCGGGTACAATACCGACCTCTGCTCCGCGTTGCTGCTGATGTTTGGTTGGTGCTGATGGTCCGGCCAAAGCTCAGGGCCGAGACCGGTACCGGTACCGGTGGCGGCCCCCCAGTCCGGCCTGGGCGTGGCTGCGTTGGTGGTGGAAGTGGTGGTGTGGTTACCGTTGCTCACACCGGTCAAACTGGAGAAGTTGCTGGCTGCCGTACTGCCGTTGCCGGCGCTGCAGCTGTGCTCCAGGCAGAAGGACTTGAAGCGCACCTCGTCGTTCTCTGCCAGGATGGTCCTCATCTCCAGGCCGTGGTCGAAGGCGCACGTCACATGAAAGGCCACGATACAGGAGGGCATGCAGCACTGGGCGAGGAAGAAAGAGAATTCAGTTAAGGGCAGAGACAGAATAAAGAGTAGTTCATACTCGTAGTAGTACATACATAGTAGTGAAGCCGGCGCAGAAAATGACGTAATTGCGGCGGGTGCCACGGGCGGGTAGAGACAAAGCTTAAGAGAGCAAACATGGATGGAGGAAAGTAGTACAGGACGGACAAGGATGTAGCACAGACACTTTTGGAGTCGAGAAAATAGTAAGAATGGAAGGTGAAAGTCCCATTTGATTGTTAACTATGTCTGTGGGTTCATTAAAAAGACATCAGATTGCAGATGCATGATGCGTGTTGCTATCTTGAAGCGACTTCACTATTACTCTCTTTCTCACAAGCAAAAATGGATGTAAACACACAAACAAACACACACACACACACACACACAAATACACACACACACACTTTTTTCTTCAATTTCTGTCACAGCTATTTGTTTTAGTGTCATTTTCGGTCCATTTCTTGTGTGATCAGGGTGCCAATATGAGTGCAGCAAAGCAGAAAGACGAGCCGAGTCACAACAAACACGGTTCCCCCATTTCTGCAGACATACTGGTAACTTGGGATGTGTGTGTGTGTGTGTGTGTGTGTGTGTTTCGCTATCCATTACAGGTCATACTAAGAGGCGGCCTCCCACTGAGTCCCTCCAGGCATGGTGTGATTTTGTGTGTGTGTGAGCCCTCGTGGCTGTGTGTTGCTGTCACCGGGTATAGTGTCAACATGTGTGTGTGTGTGTGTGTGTGCTCGTGCTTTTCAGAGGAGTTCAGCATTCTGCAGGATGGTGACTCTCTTCACTGTGTTTATGAGCACGGTGACGAAAAACCTGACTGGAAAACAACTTCTGTCTAATGTCTTCACAAACAACCTTTTTTCATGCAAAAACAAAAAGCCTAATAGGAACTACTTGATACTAATGAAATATTCCTTATTAATATAGAATATTTTGCCTTGAACTCGCTCTAGTCTGTGCTATATTTTTCTCCATCACTCCCTGTCACAGCCCAGACAACAACACACTGATTTTGAACTAAAGTAGGTCACCAGTGTGTGAGGTAAACCAGTTCATCATCACAACCTTTCAGCCTTCAGAGGGGCGTGAAGTCAGTGTGAGGCCACTGAGAGGTCGATCTGCTTTTAGCTTTTATTTAGTAAGCTACCACGATAGATAAAAGTTTCTGTTTAGATTCGTCTTTATGCCGCCTGCTCGGCACTTCCTCTTTTTTTTGACTCAGTATTGAAGCTTATTTATGTGTTGAGAGGATAAACAGAGAGACATCATGCCTGAACCACAACGTACATCATTTCTCAACATGCTTAAGAACACATGTGAAGCCAAAAGCCGGTGTCAATAACCTTCCAGCCTAGTTGGCCCGGAGGAAACCCTTGCTGACACGGGGAGAACATGCAAACCCCACACAGAAGGGCTGTCCGGCCCTGGAACTGAACCCGGGCCCCCCTTGCTGTGAGGTGACAGTGGAAGCCATCAGCAGACTATCGGTTTGGTTTTCTTTCGCTTTTGTTCCCGGTTCAGCCAATCTCCCACTATTTCATGCTTATTAATTGAATGTGTTAAATTCTTATACAAATAAAAAAAACTTTTGCCAACACTTTGCAGTAAGTCACTTGATAAATAAGTGTAATTCTTAAAGGAATGATAAATATGGGACGGGACAAATCTCGATCACCTTTGATGTTAAGCACAAAAAGAGCCTCAGTCCAAACTGTTTTAATTTGTCTCCGGCCATTACTCCCCACACACACACACCTGCTTAGCAAGTCTAGATAATTAAGAGGTGGCCACTGGACGCTGGCTTATTTAAACGATTTTTTTTTTACAGTATATGCTCCAAATATCCTGTTTGGCAGAATTGAAGAACTCAAACTGGCGTCCCTTGGAGTGAGACATTTGGCGTAAGAATCTGGGCCGATCTTTTGTATTTTGTATGTCAAGTGAAGAAATCCTGATGAAATAATTTATTTTAAGACTCGACAGCGCAGCTGCAGTACATCAATGCTGATATCCATCACGTGGATGGAGCGAGAGCCGGACACCGGAGGAATATTGATGATCTGTCCGGCTGTTTTTTTCCATAACCTTTGATTTTCCTCAAATCTACAAACACGTCATGCCCAGTGGGAGTCGAGGCTTACGTGGACTATCTCCATTTTCATTTGAACACTTTTTCTTTCTCCCCTCAGATATTGATTTGTCTGAATTTAAGCCTTTCATGTGGTGTCCTATGCTCCTACGCTCACAACAGAGTGGCAACGATCAGCTAAGATACATCCTAAAGATTGACCTACTTAACATCCAGTCTGTGAAGAAGACAGACTATGCATGAAGCTAAGTACCTTTCTAGTCTACCTTTGTTTAATAAAGCACACATTTAGAGTCCCATTGCACTTATAGATCTTGCCAATTAATGCAGCAATATTTAGGCCTGAACACTCTGAGACACTCGACTATCATTATATCAGCACAGGAAAAGAGACACAGCAAGGTTTCATCAGAGGTTGTTATCGCCAAATTATCAAAATATGAACAAAGATTTGAAGTATCTCAGAGCAACGTGGACTATAAAAAGTGGTCTAGAAGGGAAGACCTCTGATCCAGTATGAACTGTTTGACCAAGTGTGCATTAAAGACGACATTTACTCCATCGTCTCTTTGACTCCCCCGTGCCTAAACCTTTCAAGATGGAAAACTGCGTTGCTATTTCATACTTTTCCCGACATTCAGAGCCTGCACAGGACTCCCGCTGCTCGTGCAGCGCTGCATCTCTACCTGCTGTGTGAGGTGGCAGCTGATCAGTGAGCTTGTTTGTACAGTCGCCCGCCTGCAGCCATGGAAGCGGGAGAGAGAGAAACTCTCTCCCTACGGGGACGGATTGTGGCTCAAGTACTCGCTGTTAATCTAAAGCATCAATACTGTGACGGCAAAACACCGTGAAACAAACACGCATCTGGACACACGCTTTGCATACATCCGGCACACATGTATGTACAGCGAGCGCGGGGCTTCTAGGAAATCCACCTTGAGGGCACTTTTAAAGCTGAACCGTCCGCAAGCTAACAGCTGTAAAGTGGGTTAGTGTTAGTGTGCCAGCGGGGGTTTTGTTTGCGTACTCAGCAGCATGTTTAAGAGGTGCCAAGTTCAAACGGATCCACCCGCGCCCAGCGGGAGGCTAAGAACTATGATGATCTGTGTTGCTGAGAGACCTTTTATGCGAGTGTGTGTGTGTGTGTGTGAGTGTATACTCCTTACTATAAAGCAAGGGAGTCTGTGTGTTCTTCTTCGCATATAACCGCTTATCCGATCTACTTCACTCTTGGCTTGTGTAATGCTGCACCCGAGGGAGTGCTTCTGATGCAAGTTGGACTCATGACACGTTCAATATTAATAAAGTCAGACTAAACAAACGAACAGCGCTCTGTGCAGCAGTGGGGGGCCGAAGCTCACGGCTCATACAACCGGACTCTTCCTCTCTTCTAAGGAGTTGTATGAACACGGGCGACTGGAAGCAGAATCGAACCAGCGTACTTCACCAGTGGGAAGGAGAGTAGGCCACGACTTTGGCTTGCTTTTTACACAAAGAGTGAGTCTGTGTTTCTCCGCTGCAAGACTAAAAACGTTTCGCCAGCAAAATACGTCCACTAGTTAAATCCACTCTGTATTTCACAAGTGCTGTAGCTACGTCAAATTTGTATTTGACACAACTGTGTCACGGCAGGTGTATTGCTGAGGACCAAAAGGAAGCGCAGTTGTGAAGTTGTTTGCAGTAGTTAAAATATTCTCAAAGAGCTTTGTTGTAGTTCTGTGTACCATGTTACGTCGATAAGGCTGTATTTCAGAATGTGTTTTATTCGTGTTCAGGTAAGGTTTTGGTTCACTTCATAACAACATCAGCGTTTATCTGACGCACCTGTATGCAGGTTCCCGTGTGCTCTCGACACAGGCTGCAGTACAGAGCCCAGCGGCTGGCGGGGATGTGGGACACCTTGGTAATGGGCTCCATCTTCTCTGGACAGCCTATACTCACCTGCAGGGAGAAATACACAAGTCTGAAACAAAGCACGGCGTCTGATACACAATCAACAGTGTGTGGAGATTCATGGTATTTCTTCATCATCATCATCATAACAACACTTGTGGCAGTCATCTTAGCGGTTTCATTTTAACATTCGTAGTGCTGATTATGAGGAGATTCATCGATAGGTCCATCAACAGGAAAAAATGCTTTAAAATGTGTTTCTGGTTCCAGATCCTTAAATGTGAGGAATGCTGCTTTTCTTGTGTTTTTTAAAAATGTAAAATGAAAATATTGGTCGAACAAAATAAGCTATTCGAAGACTGAGAAACCTGAGTCGAGGTATTTTCACAATTGGTAGTCGTGGTGCATCATAGCACAGTTACGTATTTCATTAATATTTCATATGTCAACAATTACCAGCTGGAGATTGTACTTCAACCATGTTTTTATTAAAGCACAAGACCTCTGGATTAACTTCGGTCTTCGCTTTAATCTCCACCAAACCATCCACTCACTGATAATAATAAACTAACTGGGGCTTGAATGGTAACTTCTTCAGTGTTTTCCAATTTCAAAAGCCAAGCCCTTGAATTAGAAAGTCTGTCCCTGGACCCAGAGCAGGAACACCTGTGCTCCTTGGAAAAACATGGCTGTGACTCACCCTCTCTGAGCGGTCTATTCAGAGCAGCTTTGGCCCCCAGAACCCTTCTCCACCAAAAAGTCATTGACCTGTGCCAACCAGCCGTGCAGAATAGAGTGGAGAGCACTCGTCTCCAAAGTGCCATTTCTTCCTTCCTTCCTCCGCTGCCTGTTTTCTTTCCAAACACCATTCCACTTCTTTTTTACATTCGCTTGTTCTCGCGTTCACGGTTTTCCTTGTCCTTCACGCTCGCTTTAACAAGCTGACGACATGCCTCTC